ATAAAATCAGAATATAATTAACAGAGTAATTCCAACATGCTGCCACGTTGAGCAGCACAATTATAGAATGTCACATTCTAGACTAATTTGATTTTGTACTAGAAATTTTAACTCTAAAATAAGAAAACTTATAAAGGTATTAAGTGGCAAATGGTGAACAGCAGGCGTACAATTAATAAGAACCATTTCTGCTGTTTCTTTGTTTAGTTGTTAAAATGACCAAATATTTAACTACTTACCCATCATTTGCTCCAGTAAAGGACTGAATGACAATGGGGAGTTCATATTTGATAATGTAGAGGTAGCTTGACATGGCTGAAAAAAAGATAAAAAAGAAGAAAACAAAATAAAATAATGATAAAAAAAACACACAGACGTTAGGGATGTTAGCAACATCCCTAGCATAAATTTACACATTTAGAAAAAAAGAGTCATTTCAGATGTTTTGAGAGATACAAAAAAGCCACAGAACACTCAGAAATAATAATAATAATAATAATAATAATAATAATAATAATAATAATAATAATATTAATGCAAAAACTATCTAATTCTGCTTGTACTCCCAATTGGGACACAGAGAAGCAATGTTTCAGTTTAAAAACATGGTAGATGAATGTAAGCATCATAGTTACAATGCATAGCTGTTATACTTAAAGGTCAGTCCCTCACCTCCAATGTTCTGCATGGTGATGGAGCAGGAAGCAGCCAGTTTGCCTGGGATCCCAAAGGCCTTGTAACCCAGTGACTCATAAACAAGAGCACCTGGAAAAAGAGGATAAAAACGCAAAGCGTTTTAAATCTTGACATATAAATGTGATCAAACATAAAAAGGTTGCTGGAAAGTTGGAGCTGGTGCTCACCTGCTTCATCGGCTGTCTTCAGCAACAAGTGGACAGAATACAAGGAGAAAATAGCAAAGGAAACCAGGAGAAACCTGTAAACACAAGGAAGAGAAAAGGTCTTCAGCTAAAGATGACTTGTGATTATTGGCAATAAATAAATAAAAACTATATGCTTGATGGGTCTTTTGGTGCCAAATGATACAAGCTGTGCAATAAGCACAGTAATGACTAATAGGAATTCAGATTTTTTTAAAAATCCAGTCTTCTGCTGACAGAAACCTTTTCAGTAACTAACAAAACATGATACACTGAACAGCCACCAGGGGGCGTATTTGCAAAACAACCTCCAATAACGTTCTTCTAGCGAAAAACACATTTTTTCCAGATGGTCTTTTACAGAAGCTTAGACAACCAGGTTCAGGTTGCCGGTAACATCACATTACTTTGAGGTGAGATTTTTCTTCTTTGTTTGCAAGTCAATATGAACAGAATAGTTAAACATTTCTTGCTGATCTTAGGAATGTCATAGCCTGAGACCTTAAAACACTTGTCTGAACGCTGCTCAGCCGAAATAGGATAATGATGGAAAAATGCTTACACAAACAGGGCGATGCCGGTGTTGGCCATGGCGAAGGACAGACCCAGGATGCCGCTGCCCATGATGGTATTGCCCAGGTTGAAGACGGACATGCCGAAGGAGGCATTGCCCTGGTGCTGAAGAGGAGAAAACAGACTTTTCAAAAAAATAGCAGAAAAAATAACTACATTATGGAAAGAAACCTGAACTTACATATTCAGTTTCATACTTCTTCTTGCTTGGGTTATGATCAGAGAGGAAGTTTTGACTCTCTGGATCTGCATCTGGGTATTGCCTTTAATAGAAGAAACAGACGTGTTAAATGAGCTGACATATTGAACTTTTCTTTTGGTCTTTAGCCCTTTTAAAAAAGAGCCTCACCCATTGAGAGGAATCCTCTGGGTAGAGTCAGAGTCGTTGCTGTTGGAGCTGCAGCTGTCGTCGTCTTGAGGAGCGTTCAGGCTTTTCATCTCAATTCTAGAACCCATCCCATTGCCAAGGACTGACCGTTGGCTATGGGATATAAATAAAAACTATATGCTTTTTATTGGTCAGGTTGAAGGGAATCCCACCACTAGAAGAATCACCCTGGTGTTGTGTAGAAACTGTCAGGGAGTCCCAGAAATAAAAATGATTACAGGTGGAATAAAAACAGAAACTTACCTGTTCAGTTTCTTTCCCTTTGCTTGAGTTTTTTTTTCATAGAAAAGACAATTTTATTTTTAATGTGTCGACAGGATGTGCAGTTTAGTTTTGTTAAAATGAGCCTCACACTTCCAGCAGTTTCTCATGCGTAAAGTAAGGGTTCTGCTCTTTACTGTCATCATAGATAAGACACTTTTGTTGTCTTCATCTTTTTGATTAGTCTCTGAAAAGTTCATCTCAGTTTTAACATCAGACTGCCTTTCACTAGGCACTGAGACTTATTATTAAATATTTAAAAATGATATAGTACCAGGCTTTTAGTTGATGGATATTTTACAGATAAAAAGCAAAAAAAGATTTTATGTTTTCAGTTTTATTATGTCCACTTGTCTATTTGTTCTGCCAAATGTGTAAAAACTCAGAATGGTTGAGGTAGTGTTTTTCAGATTACGCTTTCAATCTGTACCTACAATCATCCATTATGTCAACTTATTAGCTGACAGACCTACAGAAGAATGACTATTTCCACCTTGGGAAGTTTTCTTATGCTGTCAGTCAACATGACAGACAACAAAGAAGTCTAGCAAAGTGTTTCTCAACCCTGGTCCTCACAGCCCCCCTGCTCTGCATGTTTTAGATGAGCCTCTATTCCAGAACAGCTGATTCAAATGATTGCATGACCATCAAGTACTGCAGAAGCCTGTTAATCACCCAGAGATACAATTCAGGTGTGCGGCAGAAGGGAAACACCTAAAACATGCAGGACAGGGGGGCGGTGAGGACCAGGGTTGAGAAACACTAGACTCTAGAGTCACTAGAGTCTAGGCATTCAAAGTGACTCTTTGATATGGACCACTGACTTGTCTGACCTGTTTCTAAAACCTGTTTCAAGCCAGTCAGAAAAAACCGATTGAAAGTAAAGCCTTCAAAACCGACACAAATGTCTTTTTTCTTTTCAGACTATACAGAACTATACATATATTCAGTTTGATATTGCAGCAATAACATGATTTATTTGTTAAAAAAGGTGTCATAGTTTTGCTTCTATAAGATCTGAAAATGAAGAGAAACAGCCCAGTAGTAAACATGACACTGTTCACTTCAGTAACTGAGGATGAAAGAAATGCATCATTATGATTTGAGCCTCATAATTTCCTCTTATTCCAGAAAGTGACCAGAGTTCAGTTTGTTTTCTAAAAATTAACACTTTCCAGTGTTCAGGATGAACTTTAATTACCAGCAGAACGTCTCACTGACATAGTAGCTGCTCTACAGTAACATGGAGATGAGGCGCAGATTAGAAATGGATTATAAACTAAAAAGTTCTCAATTTATTCATTATCACAGTAAAAACTAATATTAATATAGAACAAGTCATTTAAGTTGATAATATATGACTTATTACATATTATCAGCTTTTTTAGTGCATCTCAGAATGACCTAAAACAGATTTACAATAAACTTGTAAAAGCCATTCCAGTGGGTAGAAGGCAAAAAAAAAGTTCAGGTAAGAGCCTCATACGATTAACAATTATATTTAATTATCTAGTAATTTTTACTTAATGTTTAAGTAAAAATTAAAAGCATGGTACAGTAAAACTGCTCTAAGAAGTAAATATTTATCAAAAAGTTACTAAAGTAACAGAGTAAATGTAGGCTACTCACCTTTAGAGACGTGAACAAAGTGAAGATATTTAAAAGACAGGAAACTTCCTGGAGCAGATGTCAGGACTTCCTTTTGTTGCATCAGCTCTGATGGACAGAGGAGGAGTCACAGGAAGAGATGGAGGCGGAGCCTGGCACACAGCGATGTGCTGTTGGATTAAAACAATCAAAGAGGGAAGAAAAACTATCTAATAACAAAAATCAGCAACAAGTTTACATTTATTACACTTGTAAGAAATATACTCTTCTTCGTTCGTCAGGTCAAACAAATTATTTTAAATCTGGAGCAAAACAATTACATCTTTGGTTTTCAGATATGTCACCAGAACCACATATCAGCCTAAGAGAATAGTCAGTAAGCAGACAACAGTTTTGAAGCTGATTTTGGAAAACTTCATTCACTTCCCCAGACTATATACACAGGACACTCTGAAAACAAATAGTCAACTTTATTTT